GCAGGAAAATGTCATTTTTGACTCGGAAAAAGTTCATTTTGACCAGAAAAGGGTAAGGTTGTGCAGATATAGACGCAGATTCTGGGTCAATTTTGACCAGGGAGTTTTTGCTGCGTAGTACACTGACGCATTGTATTTTATGGTTGGCCGATTAATAATTTAACGCGCTTCTATGTACTGAAGTTTATGGCTGGTATTAAATGCGCATTGACCAATTAAAGGCAAATCTGAACATCAGATAATTTATATGAGTGTGGTGCATTAATCGGCCATGTATTGATGAGCAAATTTGATTCAAGCGGGATGGGGCAACAGGTTGACAAGATGTCTTCACAGTGACTGTGAAGGGTTAACAAAATGTACATTGGCGCAGAAACAGAAGGGCTAAACATCCAAACGGTAATGAGACGTTCACCTGATATTTACAATCAAATTTAGGAACCCAGTAACCTTTTAAAAAATTGTGGGCGGGAGGTAAAGAAATCGGAAGAAATCTGATTTTTTTTTAAGACCGAAGTCGAGACAATTTTCGGATCTGTATTTGGAACCTTGAATAAGTAAACCAATTATTAATTATTGACCTTTAACTATACTCTCCACCCGTCCCTTCCCAAGGGCGGATCCGGGGGGGCAAAGGGGGCCATGCCCCCCTACCAAAAAAAAAAACGAAACCAATTTTTTTTTTTTTATGTGACATCGCAATAAAGGCAGGCAATGAGTACACCACCATCTTTTCCTCAAAAAAAATTGGTTAAAGTGGTCAGAAATTGCCTCAGATCGCACCACAGAGCATCTAGAATCCAAAAAATTTCGGGGCCCTTAAGCGGGCCCCGAACCCCACGCCGTAATTTTTTTGACCCCACTTTTTTGGGGGACCAATTTTTTTTTTTCCCCCCCCCCAAAAAAATTGTGTTCTGGATCCGCCCTTGTCCCTTCCTACACACAAAGAGCAGCGCATGGAAAGGCCAACCCTTAATCTAATTTTATCTCTGGATCCCTCTCCCGAATTTGCCATCGCCGTATGACTGAGTCATAAAGATGGGTTTTACTAGAAATGGACGTTCGGGCCAAGTTGCGGTAGACATAATAATGATAAATACTGTGCAGTATCAAGTAATTGACCTAACGCGGTACAATGTTGGTGAACGAATATTTGTTAAATCTAGCACGGAAAATGACATATAAATAAAGTTCATTTATTGCTGATGAGCACTGCGGTTTTATTATGCCACCAGTCACCGTTCAATGTTTGTTGTCAAAACTTTAGCAGATATCCAGGCCCGTACACACTGTGCAGAAACTTAAAAGGGCCATGACATGAATTTTACTTGGGAATACATTTCTGTGCAACTTTCTAATTTTCTTAAATGTATGAAAACTGCTTGGCATTCCTTTTTGGTGAATCTTATTGAAAAGTGCACTTCTTTAACATTTAAAATTCTTTTCCCGACAAGTGAGGGCGTTGTTGCTGTGATGTCATTTCAGGAAGACATTTGTTCAGTTTAGGATTTTTCTGTTCAAATTGTGGACCCAAAATTTGCTCATTGAAAATATTTGTGAGAAAACTTTGCTCAAAAGCCTACTGTCGTGTACTGAAACAACGACAAATCGCCAAAGAAAGAACATTGACTACAGCTGGAAAATTTTGGTGCTGAAATATCTGTAACATTGAGGTTTCTACCTGAAATGACATCACAATTAGCTCATGAATATGCACATTTTCATTAGCAAAAAAGCACCAAAATGCCCTTAAAGTGATAAAATGAAAATTGAAAATAAGGTTAAAAATGTGCATATAGTTACAAGGATTGTGTTAAAAAAAAATGCATTTCATGATCCCTTTAAACCTTTCCATGGTGGCGCGCATAGAGGGGACTTATCAATGTTGCCAGACAAATCTCAATTATGCAGTTCATGTTTTACGGGCCTGGATGATTTCTCTTCGTCTCAATAAAATTACTTTTTGTGCTTGAAGTGCCATGGCCAAATCCACTGGAAAGCTGTACGTCGAAAGGACGAAATAAAAATGTAGTGCTGACGCACGTAAAGGCTTCTGTGATGATTATTTTGTGTGACGTCTATTGCCGCTATAAACGGCATACTTCTCTCCCTCCTGGGGATAACATGAAGCAAAACATAAACAAGCTGGCGTTTTATTTTGTAGAAAAAAAGACGTACAGGAATATAGGCCTCTGCTTGATAAATACACTATTGTGTTTCGACAGGGATCCACTTCTTGAAATGCAAACATATTGAAAATCAGAGAGTCTGATAATTTGGAGTCTAAACCCCTTCGAAGCTAGAGCAATTTATTTTTGTGAGCTGCGAGTTTCCTCGTTAAAAGCGGAAGAGACACCAGTGTGACAACACTATACTTGCAGGATAGTGCGGGTCCTCATTTTCGGTGAGAAGGCATTCATGGGTCATACAGGTCGAGTTCCAAAATACTGAATTGTATTCTCTTTATTCTTAGCTGGGCCCCAAGAGCACACGATCCGTTTCGAGTTGGGAGCACATGGTGCGCTACCCCCGTGATCGTATGGCTGCGTCAGTGCAGTAATAATACTTCGAAGACTTTCCCTATATTGCTGAGTTTTTGAGTAGTCTTTCCAAGTCCCAACTCCACCCAAAAAGCTTTAAATTCGAAAAGGATAGTTTATTACAATATGTTTGTGAAGCCAAATAGGGGCGCCCGATCGGCTGCGATCCGAAATGGGGGCGCCCTTTTATTTACCAATATGCGAGAAAATGACATTCAAGAGAGGCATGCCCAGAGAGGGCGCTATCAAGGTCTGCTGATATCATGATTGGCAGTGGAAAGTGAGCCGGGAATACAATTCAGTTGACTGTTTCCTTTAAATCTGTTTGTGGTTCCATGAGCGAAGACAATGGTTCGACTAGAGTCGTTTGCACTTTAATGTTACAGCGCATGCGCAGTTGCGCACTCTTTGACACCAACAACCATTGGTTGACTAATGGGGCGCGAACTTGCCCCAGGTTAGGCCCAAAAAAAAGTCTCCGGTTTCTGGTATGGAGCTTTCCCCAAAAAGTGGTGCGGCGACGCGGCTTTTTTTTTTTTATTATGGGAGACCAGAAAGGCCACATAAAGCTTATTCTCGACCATAACCCAATCTAAAAAACGTTAAAATTGTGCAGCAGCAGGATTCCATTCAAACCAGTGAGTTTGGCGGTTTTTAGACATCATCTTTCATTGAAAAAAAAAACCTTTTTCATTTTGCCGACGCGTGTGCTGCGCGACGGCGACGCGCGCGCATACCAGAAACCGGAGACTTTTTTTTGGCCTTAGTAACATTTATTTACCTTTATACGCATGTGTGAAACATATCACGTGATTGAAAAAAAAAAATGTGTCGTGTGATTTGAAATAATTGCATTAATGGTGCGTTCGAGATGCTTACACGCGTGTAAGAAGTAAAAAGGCGAGAAGGTTCAATTAGCCATCACGTGATACTCGCGTCTGACCCGATGTCCGCGGCTCGCGAGCGGGTCTATCCGGGGTGGTTGCCTGTAAATGACGCCACTGGACGACTGCGTGGCTAGCTACAAATACACTGAAGATGGGGTGGGACTTGAATACGAAGTAAGTACATACAATGGAGAGATTTATGATGCAAATATTCCCAATTACTCCATTTGTGATATTTCAGGGCATAATTATAGGCTACCGGTATCTAAAAATCCCAAAAGTTATATTTTTTTCTTAAATTGTAATTAAATCAAGTCCAACTGATCGATGAAATAAAA